CAACGTGGACATGCAAAAGGTATGTCCATAAAGAGTACTTACTTTATAAATACATTTTGTATTTAGGAAGATATAATAATCACACCAAATTTATTTCTAGTTGAAGTGGGTATTTATTCATAGTATCCAATAAAAGAGTTCACCAACATCGGTGGAAAGTTTTTTTGGTGTCTCGAGATAAAGTTACTTCTCAAAAATTATCACGCGACTATAATAAAATACTTCTCCACACGGAATGGTATAAATATGTTACCTATACTTGATTTCTTTTTAGCTGCCAACGATTTATGGAACTCCTTATTTCAACCCTATGGGAAAAAGACCATCGACTCAGTGCCAGAATTTACACGATTTGTATGTCCAACGGAAAAAAATCCTTACATTTATACTAGAAAAAATTCTAATTAAAAAAACTTAAGACAATGTTCCACTAAACATGATAAAACTTCTGCGTTTTTTTTTTTGCACAGTTGGTGCAAAAATAGGTACCTAACAAGAAACCCTAATTCTATTGCAGGCGATTTGAAGCTCGTCCCATCTATTTGCTATATGGCTGATGACTGGTGGGTCCGCAGGAACTTGGTCGCGCTGGGCTCTATATGGGTTGCAAAACTGATGATAAATTGTGGCAAGTACCATCGTCTTTCTTGTTGTCGTGGCTTAAGTGATAGTGGTCTGATATTGGTACAGTATAACAGTGTTCACAATGTTCGTACATATGGGAAAATTTGTTATTTAGAGGATACGAGAAGTTTATTCATTCCGATCGATCCTCAATGTTTGATAACCTAAAAGTAGTTACATTTTGAAATCGTTCACGTGATATCTGTCATATCGGCAAATTCGGAAACTTGGATATCAAAAAGCGGAAACTTTGGTTACCTATGTGGCAGAATATCGGAAGAGTTATTTGGAAAAAGTAATAAGAATGATACTTTAGGGCCGAGTCTACGAAATTTGGAGCAAAAACAATAAAAAACAAGTAATTCCCCATTTTTCGCCATGGATCTCTCATCAAATAGTATTATACAGTTTTTATTATGAAAATATTTTAAGTAATGCAATATTTAATGTGTAATGGTTTACAAAATTAAATTATTCATTGTAATCATTCCTAGAGAATTAAATATAAATATTCGTTTAGCATGTGAAACTTTTCTGTAACAATATTCTGTATCTTGATAGTTTGTGAGGTTTCCAATAATGTCAAAATGTACAGTCTATAATATGTCTACTGAGTCTAAAGCGCTAACGGGGGAAGCGAGACCTCGTTCAGATAGGCGATTCATGAGGGTACCTAGTCCGCCTTATGACATAAAAATTAGCCATCAAATCTATTAAGAATTGAAGGAGAGGTTCTTTCTTTGCTGGAAGACGATAACAGATGTTCCGGATTATTTTATTTCCTATCCTCATAATGAAACCCTTCGCAACTTTCGCTTTAACGGCGTTATTCTTGGCTTCGTGTTATCAGAAATATTGGCCTAGTTATGAAACGTTTGTTCACGATTGTGGAAATCTGTCAGTCCTGTGAACTGATAGGTAGATTTTTTTAAATTCATCTGCAAAAAGAAAAAAACTCACATCAGAATTGGCTCAAATTTCTCATAAACATTCCTTGCTCGATTATCTAAAAAAGAAGTCAGGACAGTAGAAAAAGATAAACCTTGAAACAAGAAAACTGGTGGGTGTGCGAAATTAAAACTGGAAAATCCACAGGTTGCTGATAGAATGGTAATAGATGAAAGATTTTAAAATGAGATTGAAAGATATCGAAACTGATAAGGATATTTTTTCACCTTACCTCAATCTACTTCCAAACTCCACTCAGTTGGCCAGCTCATTCAGGAAGTTCAGGTCCAATGCATAGGAGTGCAACGAAACCGTCTTGATTCAACCGGTTGCGGGAAACGAAAAAACCGGGTCTATTTTCTCGAACCACACGAACCGGGCGAAGTGTTTTTGGCAATTGGTACTCCTTGTCGGCAGGAAGTATAAGGACTTTGCTGGTACCAGTTTTCAGTGTTTAACGCGCGCATTTTTAAAAGCCAAATTTAGCAAAGCCGTAACATTCTTAGGCATAGAGCACGCGCAATTCAATTAAGAGAAAACAAATAATAGAGAAAAACGAATCAATTTCTATTCCCAAATAGGATTTAACATTCTAAATACTCAATTTAACCTACAACTATACAGTGAGGGGCAAGCTACTAGGTATATAGGATGTAACCTGACGAATTTGCAGGCGTCCGCATGTCAGAAAATGACAAATCGATTTAGCGCTAACCTGGCGACAACCAAGTAAAAAGTTTCTAGGGTTGTTAATAATTTTCAAAAATACGGTTGTGTTTCTCCCTGAAACCAAACGAAATGACGTCCCGGAAAATAATGAGGATCAAGAAGCCAAATAAATTATGTTGTTGGTTGTTGGCATTAGTTAACAAAACTTCAACTATTTCGACTCGTGCGCTTGCGCAGGATATTGACTCAAGTACAAGGACGGTTAGGAGCCACACAAAAAAAAAGTATCGTTCGTACAAAGTAAGAAACTCCTAAAAAATTGATCCTGAGGACAACATCAGGCGAATGGATTTTTGTGAAACTGTCATTAATAAGGCAAATGAAAATCAAGATTTTCTTAAAAAAATTGTCTTTACAGATGAGTCGACATTTCAACTCCATGGTCGACATAATCCTAGTCACACCCGTTATTGGTCTAAGGAGAATTTACACAGGTATTTTGAGCTTAGAGCCCAGCGTCGTCAAAAGGTAACTGTCTGGAGCGGTTTTTGTGGATAACATATTATTGGGACGTACTTCATGGACGCTAACTTAACTGGTCCAAAATATTTGGATCATTTGCAACGGGCCAACGGCAGATAATTCCAGAAATTGAAAGATTATCTGGTCCTATAGATTTAATGAAATATGGTATCAATAAGATGGATGTCCAGCCCATAATACGGGTTTCATTCTGGACCATTTGAATAATACTTTTCCGAACCGTCTCATTGCTGGGTCGAGAGCTACAATACTGTGACGCTCTCCCGATCTTGCACCCAACGATTATTTTCTCTGGGGTTATTGCAACTCAAAAATGTATGGTTTTCAGGAGAATCGCGCCGTGAACCTTGAGCAGCTGCGTTTCAAAATTCGAGAAATATATCTAACTGTCACCCCTGTGATGCTAAATAATATTCGTAGAGCCTTCTATGATCGTTTAGGTCATTGTTTAGTTCAAGAAGGTGGACTGGGACTGTTTGAACATTTTTGCTACATTGTAGTGCAAATGGTAATCGAGCCAGGTTTTTGGGGTCAAAACTAGAATTTTTGTTTTTATTTTACCTAATTTTTTTTCTATTTTTTATGTTGAATATATTTTTAGTTTTTCCTGGATGGCTTTTTTAAAATACATGTTTTTTTTCCATAGATTATTGTTTCGGTTCCAAAAAAAATCTATCTATACACGCCGTTTAATAATTATAAGTACCTAAGTGAAGCTCGACGATACATCTAAAAGCACGGTCTAGATGCTACGTTTTGCATCAAGTTTTGTCTGCACAGTTCAACACGTGATCAGGTATCAGTAACGTAACGTCTGGACCGGGCTTAAGTCTGTAAAATCATAAAACGTACTGATGTGAACCATGGTTTATGAACGTCAAAGTCATCGAAAAAACGACAGCGCACCGACAGCGACAGGTGTTCAGACGGCTGCGGACGATCGTAAATTCGTCAAGTTGGATCCTATATACCTAGTAGCCTGCCCCTTACTGTATACAGAGCGCGTAGACGAAACTGAACAGTAGGATAGGAATGCTGATCCAGCGAGTCAATATTATCCTTGAAACAGACACTCAACAAATTCCTACGATAAGGAATAAATACTACGGATGATACGATCACCGTCCGTTCAGGTACAGAGAAGGCGGCTACTAGCATGGCAGTCAACAAGGAATATATTTTACCTTTGTTTCCTTTCTCCTTCATCCTGTTAGTTCCTGAGACAACAACCACGCATGCGTGTGGACAGACTTGGATAGACATGAAGGCATTCTGGAGGGCGTTTATTTGACAGGTATAGAGATGTCAAGCATGGGGATAGTTGGAATGATGAATATGATTACGAGTTTGACCAAGGACACATGGTCTAGACATTATTTCCAAAGATATTTTTCTAAGGAATCGGAAACTGCTGTTAGTTAGATGGATTGATTATGGATCTTTGTTGTATACAGTTAAGTAATAGCGATTAGTGATCAGTGAATTTTATGAACAGAGAGAGAGTTTGTTTAAGTGGACACGCAGAATTTGTGACAATACCAAAAAATAATATGAAAGTATATTGTCAAATATCTCCTTACATGAATCCTATTTCTATAAAGAGCATGTCCCTTCTAATTGAGGGTCTAGAGAGCAACACGTTACCAAAGTTTTCCAGAGGAGCTTCCTTGATACAGCTACTGATACTGGATGAAGATGCAGCTGTACAGGAGGGGCTTGCCCTATATAAGTATGGAGATTGGTTCAAGCCTGGCTTCCACCTCTCACATTTTACTATTTATATTTATTTCCGTGCAACCGACAGCGAAATGAGTTTAAGAGGCCGCCTATTATTTAGGTATGTGTAAAATATGTCAATCAACTGAACCGCATTGCCATCACAGCCATCAGGCTGTTTATTGAACTAGTGGTTGGTTCACCGTATTTATTCAAAGGAGCACAATATTACATTATTTTTATACTTGCACATAAGTAGTGTGTATACTATAACCACGAAACTTCTAGGCGTTTTTGATATCATCTCGTCTCGGCCACAATCTCCTGCTGGGCGATAAATTTTCTCTACGATCGCGGCCTTGGCATACAAGTAACTATTATTGCTGCCTCGCCAATGAATCAATACCAAAGTTATGTGATGCCGGGCTTCTTTGTCCTGAAGAAGCTAGCTGTCAATAGATTTAACCGAGAAAGATGTTTGAAAAAAACTACGGTAAATAATACGTTGCAAAGCTAGGTATATTTTTTAAATATCAACCACAGTTTTATCAACTGTCATTTCTATTTTTGGCTCGTAAAGATCAAAAGATTTAAATTCGAAGGCATACAAAGTTAGAAATAAAACTGTACCCATAATAAGGATCCATTCACTGAAAGTACTTATCAAATGAAGCTCAAATCCTCCCGAGAGTCTTGTCCATTGCGTCACATCGTCTCCTAAAGAAAGCCAATAATTATTATTGTTTGTAATAAAAATTGTTATAAAGATATTTTCTCCTACGACCCCGTCAGAAAGTTAATTCTTTTCCTTATATGCAGTAGCCAAAAATAGTATATTGCTGTATTAGGAGGAGAAGCTTTACTTTTTTGTTCTGAAGCAGTAGGTTTGCGAGTCGAACGTACTGAGGCTTGCAATACTGCTGAAGCACAAAAAAGTGCTTCTACTCCGTATGCAACACGCTATTTTTTCTCCAAATGAATGGAATAAGCTCGAATGGTTGAGCGGCAGTAAAAGTACGAGCGGCACTAAAAGTACTTTTGCTGTCGCTGGGGTTGCCAAGCAGCATAGAAATTAAACTTCTACCACCTCGACAGGTGTTAACCCGCTAGATTTACCTAACAGCATAGAAATTAAAGGATAACGCACACCTAACATGAGATTTTTGGGCTCTATGGATTTTGCCCATTTTTTGATATGTTATAGAGGATTTAATTCTGAACAACCTTTCAATGGGACGAAATCTTGTAGGTATTACGGTCTTTGAGATATCAACGTTGAAAGAGGAACTTTTTTGCGACTTTTTGTGTGGAGAGTATAGGAGATACTGGTGATACTGGTGTTTATCAGTCAAAATATTGACAGGTTCACATATGTCAACTTAGATTAAGGCCGGGACTGCACTGCGGTCAATGTTGACGCCAGTGCGGTCTCGGCCTTAGCTTATGTTGACATTTGTTAGTGACGTAAAATATGTCGACCTTTCAAAATTTTGACTGATAAACACCAGTTTTTCGTATACTCTCCACACAAAAAGTTGCAAAAAAGTTCATCTTTCAACGCTCATATCTTACAGACCGTAACATCTACAAGATTTCGTCCCATTTAAAGGTTGTTCAGAATTAAATCCTCTACAACATATCAAAAAATGGGGAAAATCCATAGAGCCCAAAAATCCCATGTTAGGTGTGCGTTATCGTTTCTGACATCTTGACAGCGGTTAACAAAGTGACTTTTTTTTGACGTTTGGAGAAAAACATTTTTTTCTCCAAACGTCAAAAAAACGCCACTTTGTTAACCCCTGTCAAGATGTCAGAAATTTAATTTCTATGCTGGTAGGCAAATCCAGCAGGTTAACACATGTCGAGGTGGTAGAAATTTAATTTTTCTCCAAACGTCAAAAAAACGCCACTTTGTTAACCTCTGTCAAGATGTCAGAAATTTAATTTCTATGCTGGTAGGCAAATCCAGCAGGTTAACACCTGTCGAGGTGGTAGAAATTCAATTTCTATGCTGCTTGGCAACCCCAGCGGCAGCAAAAGTACTTTTAGTGCCGCTCGTACTTTTACTGCCGCTTAACCATTCAGTTACCCCCGAGCTTACCCCATTTGTTTGGAGAAAAAATAGCGTGTTGCATACGGAGTAGAAGCACTTTTTTGTGCTTCAGCAGTATTGCAAGCCTCACTACGTTCGGCTCGCAAACCTACTGCTTCAGCACAAAAAAGTAAAGCTTCTACTCCTAATACAACAATATACTATTCTATGCTGCTTGGCAACCCCAGCGGCAGCAAAAGTACTTTTAGTGCCGCTGGAGCGGCAGTAGAAGTACTTTTAGTGCCGCTCGTACTTTTACTGCCGCTCAACCATCCACTTGCCCCCGAGCTTACTCCATTCGTTTGGAGAAAAAATAGCGTGTTGCATATGGAGTAGAAGCACTTTTTTGTGCTCCAGCAGTATTGCAAGCCTCACTATGTTCGGCTCACAAACCTACCGCTTCAGCACAAAAAAGTGAAGCTCCTACTCTTAATACAACAATATACTATTACTTATACAAGAAGAGAAAAAATAAGACAAAAATTACTGTCATATCTCTAAAAGAAATTTAATTAAAAAATTTCAATTATTATGATTCTACAAATTTGGTAAGCACTACTGGGAAAGGAACAAAAATTATTGTAAAATTCACTAGAAAACTGTAGAAAAAAACATATGTGTAAGTAGTATTGCTACCTTGGACGTTTGGGCGGAAGTCTACTTACCTTTAAAGAAAATCAAAAATGATAGAAGGCCAAATATGCCAGTTGAAGCCAATGCTAGACAAAGTATTATTAAAAGGACAAGTCGAATTAGATTCAGGATTTTATTTCCAAATATTGGATATATTTTAAAAGCAATATATGTCTAAAACACAAAAAATAGATTATTAGTAGATTAATAGATTAATTTCTTACCTGGGATGCCATACTCAGGAGCCCAAAATGAAATGCCATTCCGGCGAAATATAAATGGGTGTACAAATACGGATAGACTTGAAAACAACCCACTCCAAAAACATGCAGTGTGGAAATAGCGGAAGTATAAACTGAGATTTTATTTAGTTTTCTTAGTTTCATAGGAAACTCTTTATTCTCTTGTAGAATAAACTTCACTTGGATGTACCTCAAGTAAAATATGAGAAACACTAAAAACGAAAAATTGATTTTGTTATTTAAGATGCTAGTATTATCATGCCCAATCTCAATAAGGAGCTGTTCACCATAAAATGTCATACTGGTTATAAAATTAATATTTGACACCTTTGATTAACTTTATCAGAAATCAAAAAATCAAAAAATATACCTGATTGAGAAACCGGAAAAAGGACAGGGCTCAACAAATCTGGGAGGGCACAATCAGAGATCTTTAGAGGGGCTCAAAAATTGGGAAGCAGTAAACGAAACAATAAAAAAACTGAATGTAAGCATGTACCTATCTATGTTTGGAAGGAAAATATGGATTAAACGACGATGAACCTGTAAGTATGAATGATGCATTCTATCAATAAATTAGTTATACCTAAGTCAAAAAAGTAAGACATTTAACGCAAACAATATTACTCCGAGGCCTTAAAGGACGAACGGGATGAAATAGCAACAATAAGGTAGTAAATAAATTTGGAGAGAATGCAACGAATACCAATGGCGAAGAGCTGATATCAATATGCTAACAAAATATCCCAGAAATTCTGAATGTATATTCAGTATAAAGAAATAGGTACTCAAATACACGTGTAGAAATGAAACTGGACAACAAAAATCGATTATTGATATTGAAGAACAAGAACAAAGATCAAACATAAGATTTTAGGATGTGAGAGCTATAGACGACCTACCTGTGGGAGTGACCACGTCTTGAAACAAAAAATTGTATCCCTGATAGAAACATCGCAAGGGACAACGAAAAAAACACAAGACAAGATTGAGATTGAGAAATAAAACCCAAAATATCTAGAAGAAGAAAGTGCAAGAAAATTATACATGAAAGGATTGGACCAAAATTATACAGTAGTCTGAACTTTCGAAACCTTGAAATGAATTACCCAGCATATCAAAATAACGAGTCATGGGAGAGAAACTGTATGCATATTTATTTGTTCTGGGAGGTAAAAGAAAGTTGGAGAATACTGAAAAACATCGAGATAATAAAAACAAAGATATTTACAGCAATATTAGACCAGCAATTGTAAGAGTATTCCGAAGAATCACTCACAGAACAAACGGGCAGAGTTTAAAGAAAAAAGGGAATAGACAGTAAACATAAAAACCGCAGGATCCAGAGTTCCAAAGGCGGAAGGTAAAAAACAGCGTAGCTTCGTGAAAAATGGAAGATTGTCAGACTCAGGAGAAATATATATGAAGAACTTATAAAGTATATGGCTACCAATGCACCTACAGCGAAGGCATTGCAAGTACGTTGAGCAAGGTAGGCATATAGAAGTCATGAAAATTAAAATAGAAAAATTGATTGAGGAATGCGAGAACTGGGGTTTGAATACAAATTCACTGATAACAAATATTCGGGAATGAAAACCTTGTATGAGGCAACCCTGGGCGAAGCAAATAAAGATCGATGGAGGTGAAAAATGGGAATGATAACAAACCAGAGAATTAGAGAAATTATGAACATAAGACACACAATAATCGATGCAATCAAGAAATATTACTGATTTGGTTCGGACATATACGGAGAATGACATATACGAGAATACTCAAGCAAATCATTAAGTAGAAGCCAGAGAAAAGAAAAAGACGTGGCAGACCGAGATGAAACTGGAGAAATGGAGTAGACGAGCAAATGAGAGACAGAGGCATGGAGGAGCATGCCCGGATAAGCAGGGATGGTTGAAGATCGGGAATCGGATGTTTATAAGACCGAGATTTATGTACATTTTAAATCTTACTACCCCTATTATCTCGGAGTTGAAAAATTTTCGAAAAAATTCATGAAACACGTCAACTATAATTTGAGGGGGATGAGTTTTTATGCAAAATTCACCTCCCCCCTCTCAACCCCCCAGATCCCACAGCCACCTCTTAGAAAATCTTAAATGGGAAAGAGTAACAAGTGATGCATCATTTTGGAGGGTTTTTAATTCCATACATTTCGTTACTTAAGGCCGCGTTAATGGCCGCCATGTTTAAATTTAGTTTTTGAAAATGACGACCGCGCCACTCCAGACATACGGTTCAATATTTTATTTTTTGTACAAAACAAAATCTGTTTGTCGGTGAAACACTTAGTGAAAGAGAAAGACAAATATACAATTATGATGCTCCCAAGTAGCTTTTTTGCCGTGGCGCCATCTACTTGAAATTGCTTGAACAGTTTTCACCTTCAAAATTTGTTTTAAAGTCATTTCAAAAAATCCGCAATAATTTCCAAAATCCTTTGGCATAAACATTATTTGATATATTATCTACGATCTCTACAATTAGCTTTTTTTAGTTTTTCGTGGTTATCAATAAAATATGCTTTTCACGGATCCAAGCTTGATAAACATGCAAATATGCAACCACCAACACATTTAGTTGCATTGGTGATTGCGAACATGATTTTTGAATTTCAAAAAAGGCTGAATATCGAAAAACCAAAATAAGGAATTGTAGATAATCAATCAAATAATGTTTATGTCAAATACTTTATTGACGCAAAACTGTTCTATAAATAGCACTTTATTGGTCAATCGGACATAAAATAGTTTATTTGCAACCATATATGTAATCTTGACGTTACTGGTTTTTTAAAAATTTGGAAGTGTCACATTACCTCTGTCACTTCCTTCTTCGATTTCCCTCATTCTAATTAACTTACCCTTGCTGACAACAATGAGAACCTGTCAGGTAAAAACGTCAAAACAGTGAATGACAGATTTTGGCATGTTTGTTTTACTTTTTTAATATTAAAAAAAATAAATGACTAATGATAATTAATGGTGTGCTTGCAAATAATATAGTATACAAACTTCGGAGGAAAGTTTTCATTTCTGTCTCGAGATTAATAGTCAATCTCGGTATGTAATATACTAATATACAGCTCGGTTAAAAGTTTCATTACTGTAACAAAGTAATGAAACACTTTCCACCTCGGTATGTAATATACTATTTATTTGGCAGATATGCTCTTGGTATCTCAATAACTATAACCCAGAGTAAAAATAATAGTTTTAAAAAATCTGCAGCAAAACTATCGATAAATACTTACTTATCAGTGATCCAAGACCTAATCCAAAGGAAAATATGCAACTTTGGATGAACCGTGCTCCTGTGTCGCTTACGTATGGGAAAAAAGAAGGAATGTCTTTATTCACAAAAGCAGCAAGCGTATAACTAGAAATAAAAAAGTGCAAAACTTATTAATCGAAGACAGTGTATCTCATAAACGTATCGTTACTACTATAAAAAACCAGCTCCTCACTCAAATTACTTCGCGGTAGTAGTAAAAACAATCAATATTGGCTACGTTCACCAGAACCAAAACGGATTGTAAACAGTTTACAAATACCAACAGAATATGTTGGGTAAACTCTTGGTTCTGCTGAACGATTCAACTTTTCAATGATAGAACGTCACCTTCTGAATGACAGGTCACCACACAAAACACAGTGTTTCAAATTATAAACACTCTGAAATTATGCTTGCAAAAATGGCGACCGTAAACATGTTTAGTTTTAACACAAATTCAACGTAGCGTTCAGCAGAACAATCGCAAACCGCTTACCAACGTTTGTATCTGGTGAACGCGGCCATTGGACGCAGATGACGGGTGATAGGTTTTGTTAGTTTCGTTATTTATTTACTCAAACCAGCCTGTTTCGGAAGCCATCATCAAGGAAAACTTAGAACCATTGGTCACGGTAAGGAATCCGGCCGGTTTGCGCCCGACCGTTTTGCGCTCTTACCAATCGAACAGTTTGCGCTCTGGGATTTTTATGATAAAACTTTGGCAATATATACCTACCCTATTACCTTCGGTCGACCGATTTGCGCTGTCTTGTAATAATTTTACATTCATACCATAACGTTTCCACACTTTCATCCAGACTTAGGACTGGCAAAGAAGCGAGTTCAATGCGCTTTGAATATTTTTTCCATATACATTAAAATGAAAGTTACAGCCAGAAATTTGATCTGTTCTCCAATGCACTAATCATTGCCAGCTGAAATTCCAGTATTACAAGAGATGAATTTTAATTCGGCAGTTTGTCTTTGACTGTTGAAAAAAATCTATCGTATGTCTCTTTGCATTTGGTGTGCTTGTGCTACCAATATCGATAATTTATAGTATGTATAAACTTTACCGGTCCTAAGTGTGGATGAAAGTGTGAAGGGAAGATGGAAAAGTGATTATTTTTCCTAGTAGATAAGATGTTTTTTTTTTTTTAATCTAATTCTATTTTTTTTGTTGATTGTAGAACGTTCCCAGACGGCACAAACATATTGCAGGAATATTCATGGCATATTTCATGGGAATATTGAGATATCCCATTCATATGCCATGCAGATCTATTCGTATGACAGGAATATCCCAGGCATATGCTTAAGTCACCATGAAACATATCCCTGCAATCTGCCACATATATGACAATTGGATATTGGAATATTCACTGAATATCCAATATCCCTAAAGAATATCTGACGAATATTTCATGCCTATTAATTAGATATTCACAGAAAAACCTCCCTGTTGTACCTACCCCCTCAAAATTGACACCTCGCCCAGTCCCATCCGGGCATTCATACCTAAAAAGAACCTCTAAATTTGTCAAAATGACAGGTATCCTATCGAGAATTCACATATTTTAACGTTTTCATTCCGTTAATTCTTCTGAATTTTGAGGTTAAATATATTGGAATTGGTTTACTGTAGGCACAAACAGCTTACATGTCCTATATGTACACTGTGTGTAAAAAGTCCCGGAACAGTCAATTATTTCGAAAATGGTGCACAATATAAAAAAACTTCCTGTATAAAAGTTGAAGGTCTTAATAAAATCTATTGAAATAAGACTTTTGTAATTATACAGGGTGGCCCAAAAGTTGTGCTACACAAAACTTCATTTTTTTGTAATGGAATGATCCTTTTTTAATTACATTTTCTAATTCCTCTGGAGAATCTAAACAACAATTATGAAACATGTCATATGGCTAAACCCATTACTTTCAGAAATAATTTGAGTTGAAGGACATAAATACGATATTACCTACATTTTGCATTGTTTCGAGTTGGTTCAAAATATTTCACGTTAAATCCTGAAAAAAAAAAAACATTTAACTTGTGTTAAATGAAATGTACCTCACTCAAGTTTAGTCAAAATTTTAATAATAACTAAATTATTAAATACAAGCAGTAAAGTAAAATTAACAATAACTTTGAAGGAACAAAAATAAAATTAAGTGTAAGGCGTTATTTAATTAAATGCTGAAAATGTCCTGCTCCCACAGTTTGACAATGGGCTAGGTTATAATAAAATTTATTGATGACGTTTTGTAACATTTCTTGGTTAATAGATGCACATTCTTCAATAATTCTTCTTCTCAATTCGTTCAGATCTGCAGGTTTTGTCACAAACACTTTATTTTTCAGATGTCCTCAAAGAAAATAATCAAGGGGCTTTAGGTCTGGTGACCATATTGAACTAACTCGAAACAATGCAAAATGTAGGTAATATCGTATTTATGTCCTTCAACTCAAATTATTTCTGAAACTAATGGGTTTAACCATATGACATGTTTCATAATTGTTGTTTAGAATCTCTAGAGGAATTAGAAAATGTAATTAGAAAAGGATCATTCCATTTAAAAAAAAAGAAGTTTTGTATAGCACAACTTTTTGGGCCACCCTGTATAATTACAAAAGTCTTATTTCAATAGACTTTATTAAGACCTTCAACTTTTATTCAGGAAGTTTTTTCATATTGTGCACCATTTTCAAAATAATTGACTGTTCCGGGACTTTTTACACACTGTGTATACTATCAATTTCCATCAATTTACGTCATTTCCAAATTTACGGCCGGAAATGCGGCTATTACGGTTAAACCAGAAGTAATTGATTTCTATGGAAATTCCGAGGGAAATTCATACATACCTAATTCAAAAAAAGGACATGGATATGTAGGCCGCTTGTCACTAAAGCAAACCGATTCCGGAATGCTCCAATGCTCCTCAAAATCATGTATTTAATTAACTTCCGAACAAAAGTCACAAAAACCAACAAATAAGCCACTAGCACTGAACACTCCAGAGACCAGCTGGCACTCGACCGGCAGCCACATGCCAAACAAGAAAAAAATGGCGTCGCCGTAGTGCCATCACGTGACCCTGATGATGCGTTGTGGTTGGCTCTCTCCTTGTTCTCTGCTCTGATGTCAGCGACGCGTGATTGAATTGCCGGAACGATGGCAATGAAAATCTTTGAAATGAAATAACAGTTAAACAAATTGTTCATAATAGTTTTCTCTCCAAAACGTAACGTAAGTATAAAATTTCAAGCGTTCAAAAACATGTAGAAAAAAAATGTCTCTAATTTTATAAAATTATTATCTAAAACTCTTCCTTTCGCATATTCAAGGAATATGCATACATGATATTCACGGCATATCCTATAACTACATGCCTGGAATATGCTAAATTAATACAGAATATTACAAATATGTTGGGGATAGTTCTGGAATATTGTAATATGCCTAGGAAAATTGGCAGATTGCAGGCATATACCAGCAATATTGGGTGCCGTCTGGGGTTATGGTATGAATGTATACCTAGTTATTAACGTTATAAGGCCGATAAATAGCAAATAATGGCCGGGGTGAAGTTTGTGATTCGAGGCGATAGCCGAGGATCCTAACCAGTTGAGGCTGTTATTTGCAGTTATCGGCCGTGTTTCGTTCAAGATTTTTTATTATACTGCAGATATCTTTCAATCTGACAAAAAAAAGCACTCTCCTGGTTGAAGGCCGTTTTCTTAACGGCCGGCGGCCTGTTATTTATATTTAACCGGCCGGCGAATAAATAACGACCGACAGTTGTTAAATATACCTTTTCGATTCCAATCTCGCTCATGTTATGGGTTAAATTTATAGCCATTCCTTGAAGGCGTCCTCCAGTCTTCCTTACTGAAGGCTGCCTTAAGGAGTCCTCAGCTTTTTTGTTTTATAGTCGCTGCCTTCCTTAGAGCAGGTAAAGTGCTGTCCTACGGACATAAGGAGTAGGAACGCGCCATTCTGCTTATGAAACTAAAGTGAAGCCAAGTTTTTGGCAGGTGTTTGGCACCAAAATACAGGTAAAGCATTGAATTGCCTCTACCTCCATTTTTTGGTGCCAAAATACCTGGAAAAAACGGCTTCATTTTCCAATTCCAGGTTACTAGTCCTCTTTACCTTTACCTGCTCTAAGCTCCCTTCACTGAGACTCCCTTAAGAAAAGATTACATATGGCAACTGTGTAATCAAATGCTTTTTTGACAGAAAGGATAGGTTATACGACCTGTCAAAAACGGCGGCTGTCAAAAGTTAGGCAGGGCAGGCGAATGTAAAACACAAAGTGCGGAAAAATATTGGTAAAAGCCTGAATTTTGTTGTGTAGTGAAATGTTGTAGTAGGGAAGAACGCAACAACGTTATATTTTATAAAATACCATCGCAAATGAATCTGAAATATTTTGATAAAGTTTAACAAAACGAGAGAAAGTATTTTTATTTGCAATCATATATGTAATCTTGTCATTACTGACTTTTTAAAAATTTGGAAGTGACTCTTTACCTGTGTCACTTCCCTCTTCGATTTCCCTCACCGATTCCCCTATTCGACTTCCCTCACCGATTTCCCTCACTCTAATTTATTTACCTTTGCTGGCAACAATGAGAACATGTCAGGTAAAAACGTCAAGGCAGTGAATGACACATTTTGGCATGTTTGTTTTATTTTTTTAATATTAAAAAAATTGATTGACTAATCATAATTAATGGTGTGCTAATATACTATTAATAAGCCTAATAGAAAAATTCAAATATGCTATTGAAAATAAAAAAACGCATCAGCAAACTCAAGGTAGTTTTAGACCTACCTTGGACTTGATCCTTGAGGCTTCCTTAACCGACTATAAAACAGGATTTTATTTAAAGGATGCCTCAAAGTCTAGTCAAAATGACATTATGTTGGCAATACAATGTGAAATTGTCAATGCTTTCAAATTTTTTATGTAGAAAAGGCTTGTGTTACCAGCATAGTTACTAAATCTTTGACTTGGGGAATTATCTTTAAAAAAAAAACAGACTTTATAAATTCGACCCTATAGATTAAAATAACAGTACAGTATCACGAAAAAAATATTACAAGAGAGCGCAAATCGGTCGACCCAAGGTAAAAGGGTAACTCGTCGATTCCAGGTAAGAGCGCAAAACGGCCGACACCACTGTAAGACACAGAACCGCATTATCAATAATTAACGAAATCGTAGAACTATATAATTGCAAGCAACTTACAGAACTATGCGGTTAAAAATGTATCAACAGACCTTCACAAATTGATGTTCAAATCCAAATTTCAACCCTTTCTCAGTAAAATGGAGATACGATAATAGATTGGATTAGGGGTTTATCCTATTTTTGTTACAAAATACGCACTCTAAATAGTGAAATTATTAACAATTTTGTTGAAAACAGTATGCAAATTTTAAATTTTGGTCATGGATTTAAATGAAAAAGGGATGGACACGTAGAGTAGCATACCAACAGTAAATTTCCAAAATTTCGGATCATAAAATGCTTGATTACTTAATGGAAATTAACAGTTATGCCGAAAATTTATATAGTAATATTTCAAAATTAATCAAGATCTGCCAAACGAGGAGGTAATTACTGTGATTTTTAGCAGAGTCTCAAACCAAACGGGTGTTCAGCGCTTGTTTTTGAGATGTCGCTAAGTACAGGAAGCTCAACGGCTTGGTAGTACCTTCTTTCAAACGCCAGTGAAAGCTGTTTTACCTAGCTAATAATGTGAAATACTATTATCTCATTTGCATCTGAATAAAGTTATTTAGTCCGGTGTATATATCTGTGTAATCGAATTAATATTGAACATGTCGCCATCTACTTGTAAGTGAGGCAATCACTTATAGGCAATTTGCACACCCGTAATTAAAAAATATTCAATGTATGTCATAAAGACCCAAAGATGCCGCACTGGCTCTTATTTGACGCCGCTCTTAACATCGAATGATGATATATTGAAATTATTAAAATAATGGATGCACGTAATCAATGACGTTGAAATTATTGCCAGTTGCAGTTTGTAAGAAATTAAAATTCGTTTTAAACTCAGAGCGCATTTTCTCTTTCATTCAACCCTAGTTGAAAAGACATAGAATGCTGTCGGATCAAATAACCGAATCTGCTGATAAAATGGGATTTAGGTTGAGGTTGGCACTCATGGGTAATGTTGTCGAATGTTGCCTTCTGCAAATCTTCGGTTATTGATTTTGATAATTTGAGGTTTGTTGTCAGTTCTTAATGAGGCGGGGATTGATAGTTGGGATATAATTTAAGTATACCAACTTGCTATAAAATTGTATTAATGGAATTACTTTTTTTGGTATTAGTGATTCTTATCAATTTATTAATAAAATTATAACCTGAGAAAATGACAAACTTTACTAGACATGGTATGTCAACGTAAAACGAAGTTGATGCGGCAACATTGCGACATGCTAACGTCATTAATTTTGATAACGTGCATCCATTATTTTAATCATTTTCCTATACCCTTTTTTTTATCTTAATTCATCACTAGCACCACAGCTTGCCTGATAGAACAACCAATAGTTACACAATACACGCCAGAAGGCAAGGCACAGATAAGGGGGCTAAAAAATAACCCCTCTGCACATGCAGAAGAACTCTATGCACTAGAGGCCGCTATTGTGGAGGAAATCATGAACGGCGCGGAACACAAGCTCCAATTTGGGAGCATACACTTCCGCGCAAGCATGTCGGTGATTGACTGCCTCATAAAAAAAACATCGGAGTGGCTGGAAACCAGACAGGTGAGCCACTATTAGAATCGATTTTTCAAACTAACCCAAGTATACTAAATGTAGGAAATACACCAACATTTGTTATTAGAGGGTCAAACACGAGATGTTAGACCTAACACTTTGTAATTCAAAATATCGAACAAATGATCAGAAATTGGTGCATTTGCAATGAAACCTATCTCTCTGATCACAGAATCAAAATGTTTGATGGAAAAGAAGTGTCGCGACAAACCACTTCGTATAGAAATCCCAGAAATAGGAACTGGGAAAAATACATAACCAACATGCAATATGTAATGCATCCTTGAACAGAACAACTTGCCAATGGACTGATCGTTGTCAGTCCGTTGGCCTTTTAATAAGGCAAAACAAGACTCTGACAAAGAAATAAGAAAAGCCAAACGCGAAAGCATCAGAGACTTCCGTGAATCCATCACTCAAAACTCAAAGAGCAGTGGCAAAAGGTAGGGCGCAAGTACCACTGCCACTTAAGAAACCAGACTGTAGCTACACACAATCGCATGCTTGCTCGGTCTTAAATTTATTCGTACAATAAAACCTTACTTTATCCACTTGTTATATAAATAGCTATTTTTTCTCACAACGCGCTACATTCAGTCACAACCGGCACCAGCGCAATCAAACCTTTTACCAGCAGCAATCGTTAACAGCTGTTTATGCCTTGGCGCTAGAGAACCCTTCTGAAATTTGATTGGTAGGTATAAAAAAAATTCCAGGGCCAGTAGAAAACTCATTCAACCTCATGGATCTCTCTTTTTGGAAAATATACCTGAAATAGTCCCCCGTTAAAAATTTTATGCTTAAATTAGGTATTTAAATTTCAGTAAAAAAGGATAAAACCCTAGATTGGGCCCCTATAATGAAGATAACCCATTATCGTAGGTAAATATTTGAGTAGATTGGGAAAATTTTTCTAATTAAAAGTTATTTATAGTTCTCAAGGCATTTTCACAGTTCATCTTGTTTTTGAACATAGTTGAAGATCTGGAATTCGGCATGTGAACTTTTTTTCACACAAGGAACTGAACTTGATAAACATGTATCTATAATAAACTATACCTGATGGTTTTGTATAGTTCTAATGAAAATCAAGAAAGTCGAGGCCAGCTAATCGTCAAATTATAATAACTGGCCAAGGCACTAGTTTATGTTGATTAGGTACTTTCCAATTATCCCTGTTATTATTGAATATTATCAAATTTGTACTTACGTTGCAGTAAAAGTCAAAACGTAATGAATTCCTTGAAAAATCGGCAGAAGGTAGCTATACTTAAACGGCATTTTTCAGTTTTTGTATGGCACATAAAAATAATATACGTCAGACTATTTAAGTTAACAAATCGAGTGCTAAAAGTTATTTGTCAGTGCCTATCCACTTAGATTTTTCCAATAATTTATAAACACAACTACGACTTTGACCTGAACAACATGTTAAAGGGAAATTATTCTTTAATTGCCCCCCTTTAATTGAAAAACATCAATTTAAATTGTATTATGGTCGAACTATGACAGGATAAAACTATATAGGGTGTTTCAAATGTAAGCCTCAACATGGAATATCCGGAACAGTATTACTTCAACCCTCCTACACATTATTTTATCGTTTAAGAAACACTTTAGGCACAGTAGATTTCTAGTTGTTTTTGGAAACACACAGTGAATTGTTGACATTTTCAACTTCATACTTCAAAATGTCAAAGCAAAAAATATATTGTAAATTATATGCATTGTAATAGTTATATTTACATCTAGTGAGCGAAATGGCATGTTTTTTGAATTGGCATCATAATACAGGCCGGGAATATAGTACCGAGTGAAGAGCTTAGTGATTTTTCTTCAAACAAAAATTATTATAATTAGGACTATTTACACACAAGATAGGAATAATGTGGTTGCTACACCCTCTTGCACCCCTAGAGCCAATTTTATTGCTGTACATAATGTTTAGCTTTTTTGGTTTGACACTTTCCGTACGAGGAGCGAGGGGGCGCGGTGCGGTCAGGTGACCTTTGGCGTCACTCACATTCCTTTTTAGTATCATATTATAAAAGTCGGACTGTAGATATTGACTCAAATATCCTAAAAGAAAAGACAGTTGCAATCTTTGATTTGGAAGCCGTAGCTTTACAATTTCATCAGCCAACACTGGACTTGTCTTTCTTGGTTCTTAACACACAGCAGCTACTGCAAGGCGGAATCGTCAAGTCTCACCAGGAATTTCGTTCCATAGAGAACACCGTGGTAGTGTTCAATACTAGTGTGGGGTGATAAAATAATTCTGCTTTTCCTTTCCTGGGAATTTTATAGATAATATCCGATGACTACTTCTTCGCCACTTTTGAATTCAGGAGCTACTTTGCCAAGCATTGGTGTCTAACACAAACAGTGGGATACGCTAAAACTGAAACGCTTATCAATCTGTAGTTTAGCTCCACGAAAGACTGTTGACATTCTGGATACCACCCAAAGTGCCCGTTCTCCTGAGTAAGTTGGTATTGGGGCTTCCCAAAATCCTTCACAAGCCGGCGGTAGTAACTGACTCTCTAGACACATTCAATCTTTTTGATTTTTCTCCCAAAACTATCCATTTCTTAGCGGTTTCTTTTCCTACTTCCTCTTACATTGCATTCTTGATTTGAATACCTTGAATTTCCAGAATTTGGTCAAGTCTGATTTCTCCCTCAGAAATTACGGTTGAATCCAATGTCATTGGTTGAATATATTCTCGCTCGAATTCTCGCTAGAATTTGAAATTTTCTGTCAAGTTTTTTTTAATGTCTTCGTTGTTTCTCTTCTTGTTGCTCTTTCTGTCTTCGGTATTCCTCTTCTTGTTTTCACTTTGTTACGATAAATTTATCATTTTCGTTACATGTTCCATTTCTTCTAATTTTCATTATAAAGTTGTATTTTTGCCATTTCACAATCAGCAAAATAATAATTCATCACTTAAGTAATTTAATAGTATCTACAAAATTTTATTTATTCAATATAATATCAGTACTGCCATTTATCCATAATGAGTATAAAAATGCAAATATCCATTATGTAAAGAAGGTACCGCCATCTAGTACCTGATAAATTATTTTTTTTAAATTAAGTCTGTTTTTTTTTTTTTTAAAGATATATGTCAAAATGACATTATGTTGGCAATACAATGTAAAATTGTCAATGCATTCAAATTTTTTATGTAGAGAAGGCTTGTGTTGCCAACATAGTTTTTGACTTGGGGAATAATTAAAAAAAAAAAACAGACTTTACGATTTTTATTATTTCTCATTGACAGTCATTTGTATTTTAGTTTAAAGAAATCATATTATCTCACTTTTAGCAAATAGATATATTTCTGTCTTTCTCTAACTTCTGATTCTGAAATAATTATTTTTGGCTTAATGACCTATTTGATTAGTGGATTTGTGTTTTCAACATAACCTTAATTTTCCATTTTTTCATTTTCAGCCGTTTTCTATCCTTAGGATATAGGCAGGCCTCTTCCAAATTTGACCATTGTCTTCGGTTTTGCGCAACTCGGTACCAATTTAAGCCTGCAACCTTCTTTATCTCGTCGTACCATCTTTGTTGGGGTCTTCCAACACTTCTCCTCCTAAGGTCTCCATCTAGTGATATAGCCGCTCCAGTTTTCTGTATGTCTGGCCCCGTGTCCTGCCCATTGCCATTTTAGGGAACCAATTCTTTTTATTATGTCGGAGACTTTGGTTCTCTCCCTTATCCATGTATTTGTTCTGTGATCCCTCAGGGAAATTCCTAAAATTCGTCTTTCACTGGCTCTGTGATGTACTTCCAAGTTGTGTTTAATTTTTCTGGTTATCACCCAAACATCTCAAGAATTTTGACAATTCCTGGATTTAATTAATTTCACTCTCAGTTTTATCTTGTGGTACCTATAGTAGGTACCTTAACTTAAAAAGGAAGATTTGTCTATTTGGGGAAAATCTGGAAAATTATTTTTTCTTCCGCACGCATTTTAGTTTAGAAAGTTTCACTTTTCCGCACTAGTGCGGAAAAGTGACAGGTGTCAGTTTTTAAATTATAAGCTGACACATTTACACAAGTATCAGCATTGATAATTATTGAAACAATAATGTTATTTATTAAATTATTTCGGTTTAAACTTAACTTTTCTTGTCAAGTTACTATAGAATGGTTACTTTATGCTTAAAAATTTCAAAAATTTCATAGTAGAAACATCAAACGTACAAATTATTGTTAAAAGCTTCGATTTTATTGTCTACAGAATCAGGGACATTATTTCAGAATTATTTTTTTTTATTTTTAAAAAAATAAGTTTTATTTGTACTTAAGAGTACCTAACCTATATTAAGAAAAAATTACTCGATTTGTTTTTAATACCAGGTGTTGCAAAAGAAATGTCAAATATTGGTGTTAAAATTTACATTACGTTGGTACGTTCCTTCTATCTCGTAGAAAAAATAGTGTTCCTAACTCGTGCGGAAAGTCTCTTTTCCGCACTTGATTGCTTGCCGAACTCCGCTACGCGTCGTTCGGCAAACTGCAATCGCGTGCGGAAAAGTAGCACTTTCCGCACTAGTTAGGAAATATACTATTGTTTATCTTGTTCAATTTTTCTTACATTCTTTTTATTTAAATTTTGCCTGTTTAGTGCGACTGCTAGAAAAGCAGCATTCTGCTCAATTATAACCAGCTTTCGCAATATATAGTTGCTCATACTAACCTGATTCTGTTGGAAAGAAGTGACTGCACAACAATGGTTTTATAGTTAACTAATTACAATTTAAATCTTCTTTACCAGAGACTTGCTTTTTGACAGAATTCAGGGATTTAATGTTCCAAATCTTGGTAAACCTGATACTGCCTATTCTTTTCTGCCTACTCGACATGAAATATCACTATTTGAAGTCTGGAGTGACGTCACCCCAGCAATCTATCCTCGTTCCTAGAAACAACACGAAGAGCTCAGTTCACGAAAGTCAAACCCCAACATCCATTGAAGAGCTCCGGATCGGAAAGGTACATATTGTGTCAGATTCACCAGAACAACCAAACTGTTAAATGTCAAATTTTAAAGAAAAGTAACATTGTTACCGAGATTGTAGAAAAAATATTAAATAAAAGTATTGTTTGTTGGAATTTGAGTGGTTTCATTTGCACATAAAAGGACCACAAGTTATCTTTATTTTTTTTTTGAATTCCACGATCCTATAGGTTCTCCTGTCTTAAAGTACAAATAACTAAATTTATTTGTAATAACTTCTTTCTTAGGTCTTCTTCTTCCTGTTTCTCTTTCTGTATTATTCCACTAAAATTTGATCAACTTGATCCATTTCGCTGACATGTATTTACCTTTTACTATGGAATACTCTGTATATCTTTCGATAAGTGATCTTCAACCGAAGATGAAGAAACCGGCACTAAGAAATACAAATTCAGTCCATGTGAGATAAGCGCCTGTACATAAATATAATATATATGTATATACCGGTAGTCCTGAAATGGTTAAGTAATATAATATAGTTGTAGACCTCAAAATAATAAATTGGTAATTTAAACATTTATTATATCTACTTTAGGCTTATTAAATACAAGTGTCTTGAACTCAGCAGCATATAATGACAAATAGAATACCACACCTAAAACTACAATCCATTCGGTTGCTGCGCTTATCAAATGAAAAAGATATCCTCCAGAGCTTTCTGTCCATTGAGTTATATCGTCACCTAAAAATAACAATAATCGAATAAATTATTATAGAAACTATAATTAAATCTTCGAGTTAATAAGATACCAAGGGTATAATGAGCCAAATAAGCGCTCAAGGTTTAATAACGTGTAACCTGAAGGCGTTCAGCTCAATGACCTAATAGACTACTTGACAGACCACCTCATTCATAGAATACCCTTTGTTGTGTTGTCAAAATGTTTATAAACGAGGCAGTAGGCGAGGTGCGCACGTGTCATGGTGAGGACAACTCTTCTCGACTCTTCGAACAAATGATCAGTGGCGTAGCAAGGTCCTCATGGGCCCGAGCGCAAACCTTTTGATAGGCCCCCCCCCACCAAAAAACAAAATAAAAAAATTATTTTGTGGAGCATCAGGTTGGGTACGTCGGACCTTCCCCAAAGTCAAGTGATTTTTGTCCAACAAATTTGATGTGATGTCGTTAATGTAATATAGAAAACAGTCCATTGGAATTAAAACCACAGCATATACAAAAACAATCAGCAGGCTAACTTGAGTGACAGCCCGTGTAATATAGGAATTCATCGTCGAAATGCCACTAGCAGCCATTTTGGGATAAGAAACAGGACCTGATTAACGATGATTTGGGTTTTTTCGTTCCTGTCACAGAGTCGTATTGGCTTTAAATAAACTGATTTATTAGTAGTTACTTAGTTACATATAATAATATCTATAATTACTAATTTATTATTATTATTATTAAATATACAAAAATGATAACAGATAACACTATAAATGACAACACGAATATACTAAAATCACTTCGAAAATCATAACCAAAATTCCGCTCTACACCGCACGCCTATAACCTCTGTCAGAAATAAACAAATGTAATCAAACTTCGACGCCCCTGCCGTTTAATGACAGGATGGTATATGGTATCCCCTAATGGCGGCATGCGCAGAAACGATGCGCGTAAGAGTTAGCCTGCTGATTGTTTTTGTATGTGCTGTGTTAAAACTACACGTATTGTCCGTCGTTTTTAATCTGACACTTTCCGTGTATGAGGACTGAGGAGCGCGGGGCTGACTGAAGCATATGGCAACAACAGGTCTGATGTCAGGTGATCATTGGCGTTCTAACGTAGGGAGCCACCTCACATTCCTTTGGAGTATCAGATTCAAAACAACGGACTGTATACATGTATCACCATCACCTTCCTCAGGGACGTCAGAACCACAACTTCACGAAGAGCCAGCGCCTAAATGTTCCCAGTCTCAGGTTGAAAATATGAAAGAAATTGTCCGACTTGGTTTTATGAAGCCAAAAAAATGACGGTATAGGCAATTCAATGCTTTACCTGTATGTTGGTGCCAAACACCTGCCAAAAACTTGGCTTCACTTTAGTTTCATAAGCAGAATGGCGCGTTCCTACTCCTTATGTCCGTAGGACAGCGCTTTACCTGCTCTAAGATTTGTACAATGCGGCCATGCGCCGTAGGGTGTAGGGCGCTTTCGGACCTACGCGGTCGCGTGACGTGTTGCCGACCGAAAGCCGAGAAGATGCAAAACGGAAACGGATGGAATGCAAAACGGAAACGCAATAAGCTTAGTTCATATACTTGCGAATCGCGCATCGCGGAAAGTGAATAATGATCCTATTGGTCGATTTTAAATGTCAAGCGGTGGGAAGCCAAATCAACCAACAGAATCATTATTCGCTTTCCACAATTCGCGATTCGCAAGTATATGAACTAAGCTTCAATGAGGGATTTTTGCAGATTTTTTTTTGATTTTAAGAAAGGGGCCTTGAGGGGCCCCCCATGTTCCGGCGCCCCAGCGCTTCGCGCACCCCCGCTCATCGATAGCTACACCACTGCAAATGATTGGGTGAAACAAATAATGAAATAATAAATTAATTGAAGTCCTAATCACGCACCAAATCTGGAGAATGGTGATATCCATATTGTATTCTCCCTCCACCGACAAAAAGAGATATAATATGTCGCGGTCTTCGTTTCAATCATCGCTCAAAAAGAACACGGTAATCTGGGCAATACCGAATTACTACGACAGGCGGAAATTAGATTTGGAGCAGCGTTTCCAAATGTAGGTAACCGAAGAGTAGGACTGCAAGATGATTACCTTTTTGTTTAAATAATAAACCTATGTGGCAAAGAACTATGGACAAGATGGCACTTGTACGTAATCTTGTGCGTTGTTCGCAAACGCATTCGTACTGTGACTGGTTAGACGTTGATATCTTTTTTTCCCTCTCTCTCTCACGTAGGCGCACTCGCAAAGCTGTTACGCGTCATTCAGTTGCTACTGGGATAGACGACCCCGGGGCTTGACGCCCCGATTAAAAAGAACGGTTGTCTTGTGTCAAAATGTGAGCTTGTTTTCAACATAAGAGGCTGAGCTTTCACACGTCAAATTAATGTTTATTTCCTAGGGGAACTCTTATGAAGTGTTGCTACGGTGGCAGCACTGTCAGAGAGAGCGAGAGGAAGGTTTTGCCTACAAACCCCGAAATCCTTTATATTTTGGTAGATATATAATATCTCGAAAAGCAGGCGTTGTACGATGACGGTCTCGTTGGATTCAGCATACTTGAAACATGGTTGACCCCTCTTCTGCACACCTGCACACTGGACTGCAGAAAACAGGGATTTGTTATATGATTAGCCGCCAAAAATGTTAATAGATCAGTGTCAAAAAAATCGTATTGTCACTCATTCCTCTTACACTCCATAGCTCTTCTTACTTATTGCAAGTGCTTTGTTTGGCTTTAGGTCTTATACTTAGAAAGTGCCCTATAAAACCCGACAGGTTGAAAATCAAGGTTTATCCTGAAATCGTTCACTAACGTTCTTACTATTAGGAGTTCTGGTTTCAAGAGTTGAGAACAAATTTTCTTTCACGTTCAAATTTTTCCCAAAAGATCAACTTGCGCTTGTGATGTCAGAGGTTTGCCGAAGAGAATGTACAAGGAAGTAAGGCAAGAGGGCCTATTAGGATCGTCATCAAGCAAAGATGTGTGACCTCGGTTATCAAAGTGCATTCTTGACATATATACTGTTCTTACAATCCTCGATACAACAATCAATCAATTAGCATTTTCTATTATCATTAGACAAATGCATTAATATATAACACGATACTAAATGATTTTTCAAAAAACCACTTCAGACAAAGGATTATTAATTTATTGTCCATTAGTTGTCTAATTTGCCCAATTACTTTTCAGTCTGGTACTGGAATCAACTTCAGCAAATTTTCTGGAACAGTAAAACAGCAAAAAATATATGAGTGTTTCACTCCAATTTTTCAGTTGACTCGCAGACTAATGAAAGATTTCAAGTTGAGATGGTGATTGGTGATATCTTGATTATTATGAAAACACATTTAATAATTAATTTGATTAACATCAAAAAATTAAAGCTTCCTTTCTCCTTATCTTAAAAATTAAAGGGCCGTTCAAACAAATTAATTACAGAGTAGTATAAACTTCCAAAACCTAGAAATACATTACCAATATATCAAAGAGAGTTTTCACAGTGCAGCATTTGAAGCCCTAGGCAAATACAAAAAAAAACGGAAGAAGGCCCTCACCCTATTGGTGGGATCAAGAAATAGAGAAAGGCATAGCAGATAAAAGGAAGAAATACCAACAGTATCTAAGTTCAAAGAAGACACGGGACAAAGAAATATATAAAGAAGCACAAGCAAGAGTACGGAATAAAATAATACAGAAAAAAAACGAGTCATGGGAAAGAAACTGTGCGCGTATTAATACTTATCTGGGGGGTAAAAGAAACACAGAAAGTTGGAGATTACTCAAAAACATGAGGAAAACACAAACTAAGGATATTATCGATACAATAACACCCCAGAAAGGAGAAGAGTACTTTGAAGAATTACTGACAGAACAACGAGCAGAGTTTAAAGAAGAAAGGGAACAGACACGAACCATACTGCAGGATCACCTATAAGAGTTATGCAAGAAGAAGTTAAAAAACACTGTAGCTTCTTGAAAAACGGTAGGGCACCAGGCCCAGGAGAAATATATGGAGAGCTGATAAAGTATGGGACCAATAAACTCTACAAACATTTAACAAAACTATTTCAAACATGCATAGATAAACATGAAGTACCGGAAGAGTGAAAAATATATAAGCTATTTAACAACGATATATAAAAAAGGAGATAAAAACAAATGCGAGAACCACCGAGGAATTGCAGTAACAAATACACTGAGCAGAGTGTATGAAAAACTCATAAAAGCCAGAATAGAGAACGAGTTCAAAGATAGTGAAGCAGAAGAACAGGCCGGTTTTAGAGCAGGAAGATCAACTGTAGACCATTTATTTAGTTTGACCCAGGTAATAGAAAAGAAACTAGCGTATAACCAAGAACTCCATTTACTCTTTGTAGATCTAAAGAAAGCATATGACAATATTCCGCTGAAAAAGCTTTGGGAAGCACTGGAAAAAACCAATATCATTTTAGGACTAGTAAAGGCAGTAGAAACCCTCTATAGTGATGCAAAGATCAAGATTAAACAGGGAAACATGATTAGTAAAGGCTTTATAGCAACTAAAGGACTTAAACAGGAATGTTGCATATCACCAACGCTTTTTAAAATATACTTAGAGCAAGCGCTTAAGGGGTGGAAAAACAAATGCAGACACATGGGAATACCGCTCAATGAATACAATTTATATACTTTAAGCTTTGCAGATGATCAAGTAGTAATTGCACAGGAGTATGATGACCTAGAGTCAAAAGCATAGTCACATATAGCTCAGAAGTCTGGCCACTAAAGAACAGAACCGCAAAAATTCTGGAAGCAACTGAAACGGACTTTTGGAGGAGATCCGCAGGCAGGTCAAAGATGGAAAGGATAACAAATCTGAGAATAAGGGAGATTATGGACTTAAAACAAACAATAGTAGATGATATAAAGGACAACAGCTAATTTGGTTCGGACATGTACAAAGAATGGCAGATACAAGGATACCCAAGCAAATTATTGAGTGGAAGCCAGGGGGAAGAAGAAGACGCGGCAGACCGAGAAGGAGCTGGAGAAGTGGAGTACACGAAAAAATGAGGGACAGAGGCTTAGAAGAGGATGACTGGATTGATAGAGATGGTTGGAGATCCGAAATCGGAAGACGTAGAACCGATAATTATATATTCAAACAAATTCACTTACCAGTAAATAATAATAACGAAATCAATCCAAACGATCCGGAAATGATTGTAGATATAATAAGAATTACGACAACAATGAGCCTGAAAATATTCAGATTCTTGCTTCCTAACGCTGGATAGATTTTATATGAAAGGTAAGTCTGAAATAAAACAGTGTTAACGTCTATGTAGTGTAAAATGGACAACGTTACCTGAATCACTAAATAGGATCCAGAAGTAATACAAGCTGTAACGGCTCCTACTAAATGCATTACAATAAACGGTTGCACTTGAAAACATCCTAATAAAAACACACTCAATCCTATTATAATACCCATATAAAATGAGAAATTATTTAGGCTATGTAAAAGTGGTCTATATCCGTTATTCTTATGTGTTCCTAGTATTAATTTTACTTGGCGGTATCGTATGTAGATTGTGAGGAACACTGAAAACATAGAAATCTCATTATTGTGATTTTAATTGCTGCTAGTTACTACTTGCTTGCCACTGAACCAATTCCTAACATAAATGAAAATATGCATCTTTCTATCGACCAGGCTCCTGTGTCACTTATGTATGGAAATACAGAGGGTATGTCTTTGTTTATATAAGCTGCAACTATGTAACTGAAATGCAGAAAAAAATCGAAAATATTTGGAACAACGCAAAGGGAAGACAATAAAATATTTAGAGGTACATCATAGCTCTGTTCCAACTGACATGAGAACCGTTCTAGAACGGTAATTTCCAGCCGATCAATTCATTTGTCAATTAGGATAAACCTATTGGAAAATAGGTTGGCAACTGGAGAACGGTTTTCATGTCGGTTGAAATATAGCTATTATTATATTTTTATAAGTCTCGCAAGTTGAGGAAATTGTGTACAATATTGCAACACCGCCTGATGACTAGAAAATTTGCTAATGGAGTTTTACCGCTCAATATTCCATCGAATTCGAACGCAGCGAATTATCTGACCATTCTAGAAGCCACGACGTGCTATAAAACGGAGTCGGCCAGTCAGCGATAAATTGGACGCCAGTGTATCAAGAATCAGTAAGTGGTGAATTGAACGCGAATAAGTTAAGTGGAGGCTTACAATAATAAGCGATAATAAGCGAATCACGAAAAGATCTTCTGCACCGAACGAACAAAATAAAATCACTTTTAGAGCGAATATCATCCACTATTTTTTCTACAAATGCACTAAAAGTGATTAGGTACTTTTAGCACTCAGTGCTAAAAGTAATCACTTGCAACACCTGTGTCATAAAATGGCATATTAGACACTGACAGCCTCCGTTAAAAATTATACTTTTAGTGACGTTTGTAGAAAATAGTAATTTTTACGTTCGACAGAGCAACAACTTCTCAACGAATAATATCATAGATTGCTAATACTATCTATCAAAAAAACTTAATAGGTAAACTTACGTGAATGAGAATGTTACCGGATAAAGTACTCCTTGAAATATCGGTACGACATAAGCATATTTGAAAGGCATTAGATCAAACTTTAACACACGTTTCAATTAATTTAAATTAAAAATTCGGCTAATATTCTAACACATCGGTCGGAGTAGATGTGGAGAAATGAAAAGCATTTGAAGACGCTTTAAGCTAGTTTCGGTAGATGGAAAAATGCACTTTTTTAGAGAAAAAATAATTATGTTTGATGAAGTAGACGAATTGATTATGCATAATAGTTATTCATTATTTCTAACTTCGTCTGAAGTGTCAATTAAAAATATAAGGACTTTGGTAATCTAGGTGATGCCAGTAAATGCATGCACATAATTAAATTTTTTTAGATTGCAATAATTACTTCATTATAATTGTAGGTTTTTTTATTGCAAGTTTATTTACCTATAGGCACAATATTTTTGTATCCAATCACATGAAACTGCATGCTTCGAATAATGGAGAATTCGGCCCTGCCTCTTGGTCAGAATACTTCTTAGGAAGCAATGGGCGAGGAATCATATTTTATTATGTTAAATTGATCGAGGCTTCAGACGAAGAGAATTCGGGAAGAAGGAAAGAAAAGATAAACTCAAACTCTCAAGCTTAATAGAATAAGAATCAGGTAAAAATGTTATCTGTTAGGCATTGATGAACAAATCTGCAAGTACAGTTGCGGCCATTGGAATTGGCACAAGATGCGCACTGAGTGTATCCGCGCATCTTTTTCTAAAAGCATGTAAAATATAAACGATACATTGTTTTGCACTGATTCTACAAATGAAAGTCGCCGTTTGATGCAATACAAGTGTCCTTTTCATGTTTAAACTAACCGGGTTACAAAACGGTTAGTAGCGGTATGTCAAATGATGACGTCATTGAAAATGCCACTTGAAAATGAACGGTTAGAAAATAGCTATTTATACAATAAGTTACGAAATGAGCGTCTTTTAGGCACGCGACGTGAAAATTGTCCAACGAGGCAAAGCCGAGTTGGACAACACGTCGAGTGACTAAAAGACACCGTTTCGTAACGTATTGTATACAAGATTTTTTCTACTGGCATTTTATAATAAAAAAACACAATTTTATTTCATGTGAATAAGTCGATTACACCCAAAATCTTTGTTACCTGCTTTTACTTGACACCTGACACTTTTCATGCGATTTTCTTTTCAAAATTCGACATCAATAATTAAAATCCTAGAAAGTAGGTAATAACACAAAGTTCTGTTTTGAGTAACCCAAACGTTCAATTCAGTAATTCCATTTTCAATATTCATAATAAATACAAAACAAAATTCAAATATGTGTTTAGTGTGTTTTTTATTTCTGAATAATGAATGACACTTTTAGGCACTAGTGCTTAAAAATTACTTTTACGCACTCATAAGTCACTTTTACGCATTCAAAAGTCACTTTTACGCACTGAGTGCCTAAAAGTAACTTTCACGCACTCAGTGCCTAAAAGAATGTCGTTTCAAAACTGAAATGACAATCGAAAAGTTGCTATTATGAAACGTCAGTAGAAAAATGTTATTTTAAATTAGGAAATCGAACGACCTGTCAATATTTATAATAGGTTGACGTACCCTCCAGTAGCTGCACCAAAATTTCACGTATATCTTGAAAAAAAAAATTACCCTATTGATTAGTTAGGTAGAAACTTTAAAATATTATAAACAAAACACACATTTTTTTATTTAAGTTCACACTGGTCACAATTTTTTCGCTCTCCGTTGTTCACAAATTTTCTACTTTTTTTGTTCTAACCAGAGTTCTAACCGTTAAATGTAACCAGATCGCCGAGTTGGTTAGAGAAATGACATACCTACCGTTCATTAAGCCAGTTACAAACTGACGTCATCGATTTTGGTGTGAGAATGTCATTATTCTCGCATGCAAATTCGTTGAAGAATGAAGCTAACGATTTTTAGAGACATTTAGTTTTCAAGGTATACCTCTATGGGTATACCTATTGGTACCATCATAATTGTAAAACCTTCTAAAATAATAGAATCCACCTGTCGGTTGGAAAGTAAGTGTTACCAACTGAAATATTTCAGAAAAAATTATTTATAAATAATAAATTTATAATAAATTTCTAAATAAATTATTTAGATATAAATAATTTCTTAAAATAAGGTCCTGTTTTAAAATTTGTTAAAATAATAGATCTATCTATTTTTACCTGGTGTGAGCGCAACACGAGGCAATGCCTTCTCATTGGCTAACTAGTACAGGTTGTGAGGTGTTCGTTTTGCACGCTGGGCATCGCCTTGTTCTTGTCCATTGCCCGCGGTCTGACAAGAATAAAAGTACGGTTGATATTCAACTTGACAAGTGACATTCAAAAGTTGTTCGAAATTTTCATTGTCAAATACATTGCACAACATGCGGTTTTTCTTCTTTCCTTTTTATCCCGTGCAAATAAGAAGCACCCACATAACAAAATTGCATCCTTAGAATGTAATAAGAATGTTATTTTTTTAGGAGGAATGTGCTTAGAATGTTCGCCAAATCCATTGCGAATATCCTGAGAATGTTCTGAGAAAAGATTGTAGAAATACTGTTTGCAATACCCAAGAACTTTCTGGGAAATCCATTAGGATATTCCTAGAATATACCCATGAGATTCTCAGTACATCCTGAAAAGAATATTCCTGTTTGATTCTAAAAATATGCTTGAAATGTATATATTCTCACATTCAAAGAATGTTTATATGACATTATAGTTATGTACTCAAAAGAATATTATACCAATATGCTTTAAATATTCTTAGAATATATCTACATATATTATTCTCAATATGCATCCTAGACATAACATTCTTGTTTGATTCTAGGGATATACTTAGAATGTTAATTTTCGCTTCCAAATAATGCTCCTTTCAGTCCTTTTATATTAAAAGCAGTGAAAGAGTTGTTGGAAAACTTCTCTGGAAAACACAAGTGTTTAACCAAAGCTCCGGTTTCGAGCTTATTATGCTCTCGTCGCGGTAAGTACGCCAACTGAGAGAAACAGGTTTCAAGGTGATTCAAACGCTAGGCAACATGTAGATCTTTATTAGCGCGTGGCTCCCTCTCTTGGAAGACCTACAAAGCAAAAGAAAAAGAATATACCTATAATATTCTTAGTAGGTTCTAGATAGAGCATTATTGTTTAATTGTTCAATTAAGATTTTTGAGTAGGTACTTTAGATAATTAGATGAACGATATGAGAATATTCTTATCATTGTTACCTACCTACATAAACTTCTCAGCACAACTTGGTAGGTATATTCTTAATACTTGATAGAGACATTAGCCGAAAGAACATTTTTTAGGGTACATTATAATAATGTTCGTATTCAAATAATGTTATATAAAGTAGGTTCTTAGCACGATCTTTCAGGTAGGTGCATAGAAGCAACATTCCTAGTACATAAATAGAACGTTCAAAAATGAATATTTCAATCGAAACAATCTCAGAATATTCATTGAACATTCCTAAAAGAACATTCCAAAACGCACTTTGAGGGAATATTCTGAGAATATGAATGTTCTTTTACTGTTATGTGGGCACGGATTGCTATACGTAAGTCTAACATAATTTGGTCTGTTTTGCCTCGTCTTGCAATGAGCGTTCTGTGTCTTTATTTATCTAATGGAGTTTTCGTATTATTACCTCTTTGTCTGGTAAAATAGATAGGTCTATTGGGATTTCACTCCTCTCCATCTCTTCCGATTTTCTCCTTCTATAAATGGGTAGTTTTAGCCCTTGAGGGGTGTAAAGTTTGTTTCGGAATAATTTCTGGGTTTATAAGTTTAAATCTATATGTACACAATATTAAGGGATATTTTTTTATATATTTTAAGTCACAAACGTCAAACTCTAAGTTCTCCTTTGTAATTGTTTCAGCTGATGATGGGATATTAAAAATCATCCAACAAACTAAGTTTAGCATGAAAGGGTTTAAAACTTGAATAAAGTTGAACTGTTGAAGTCAACCAATAATTTCCAAAGAAAAAGTCTGGATTTCAATAAGAAATAATGATTATTGGTATCAAACGCTTTCGAAAAATCTAAAAGTACCAATGCTGTGGATAACTTTTTATCGATGGCATGAAATATATCGTCTGTAACACCAACGTACCAAGGCTACACATGTATTAAAATTCTTTCCAAATCTACACTGACTGTTGAGAATAATGGCATTACTGTTGCAATTTGAACCAATTGATTATGCAAGATTTTCTCAAAAATCTTAGAGATAATAGGTAAAATGCTAATAATTCCGAGGTCATTAACTTTGCGTAGAGGTTTCCCTATGGATATCTTCCACTGATCAGAAAAAGTAGCTTACTTCTAGAACAGTTTATAATGTGAGTTATATATTTGTCTTATAAAGAACTGCAAAGTTTAAGCATTTCAGCATTAACCCTCGGGCAGGCGCGCTATCGGCCTTTTATTCCGCCTTTTTACTAATTCAAGGATTCTGCAAATATTGTGGATTTTATCATATTGTCCGTCTAGCTATGTTCAAATGACTATATCAGTAAACCTACTACGCACAATTTATGACTTTAGAGCGCTTATTCAGATGTCAGTGAGTTCTTGAACTTGCAGGTGTTGAGTTTTCGGCATTCTGTGCCGCCAGCGCGCCTGGCCATATAAGTAAAATTACAAAGGGAATAGTACAAATATTATGAATATTATTTTTGTGTTTTTGCGGAATTAGTATAAAGGATTTCATCCAGTTGCCTAGAATTACAATTTGTTCTATTTTTTTACTCTATTCAAAATAAATTTTAATATTCTGAATTATTTCGTATGTTTTTCTGCAGGCGGTACGCAGTGCCGCAGCGCGCCCGCTAATGTGATTTTCAAATGCGCGCCTGACCTAGGGTTCATACCATCTACCCCATATGCATTAGTTCGAATACTGTGAATCAATGTATGAACTAACATAACGTACGTAGTGAAATATATCGAGCTACAGACTTTAAAGCTTCAGATAAAGTGAAAGTTAAAGACTACCTACCTGAAACCCCTTTTGAAAAATCCAATGACTCAGTTCTCGGCAAAATGATTCAAAATGGTGTAGTCGAATCATCCATTTGGGAAAACGTATAGAGCATAGAGTTGATGCAGATTACAGACAATTGAATAGACTAATATAGATGGATGCCTAACCTCATACATACATATATTAATTCGTGGTTTATTTCAGATTCGTTAATCGAATAGTCCCGCTACC